CCTAGGTAAATATAGCACACTCTCCACTTCCATCGACACAGAGAGTGCTACAAGGCAATGTTTAAACATATGTATGAGCATCAGCCACTTCCAAAAATGGAACTGTCCCAGGAGCTCTGTGTGGTCACTAGGCTGGGGGCTGCGGTAAAGGAGAGGAGCACAGCGTTAGCAAGAGAATGAAAACCCTCCTTTCCTTCTCTCCTCACCAGCCCAGCCTGCCCTCTAGTGGAGATGCTAAAGAGCACAGGAAACAGGCCAAGGCAGGTCAGGCAGGAAGTCAACAGCTGACATTTACTTAGCAATTATCAGAAATGGTCTTAAAATGCATGCTGAAGGTAGAAAACCTCTCTGTGGCTTTAAGTGACTTTAAGTGCAGCTGGAGAGAGTAGAGGTTACCCAAATGAAATGTGTTTCACAAACTGGAACCAAGCAACATACCAAATTTCAAAATCAAGAGAGGAAAGGCAAAACTGAGTGTTATCAAAATGACTTCACTATAATTATTTTTAAAGATATGCCATTTTCTTTCTTTCAATAGACACATAGTATACCCTAAGATATAAATGCTCTTATACATTTTGAAAAACATTACAGGTCATAGTGAGATAAGTTCATAGGCCTAAAAATCTTTTTAACGTAAAAAAAAAAAAATCAGTGGATCCAGTGATTAATCCTATATTTTTCCCATTTGATGTAATGTGAAGGAGGACTCATTTTGGTCATAAAACCTCAGATTTTTTAACATTTACCATGACTTTTAAATGTTTTATTTAGTAATGTACAAGTTCCATGTTACAAAAGCTTGAATTAAAAGATTTTATTCAGGTTTAAACTAACTTGTAAGAAGGAGAAAAAGAGAATCAAAAAATGAATGGTTAAAAAGACACGCTTAACAGAAGTTTTTTGTTTTTCTGGACCTCAGATGCTGTAATTGTATTAATCAGAATCCTTTGTACAAGCCACACCTTTGTCACTGGTTCATGCAAGCCTTCCCATTTTGTTTAATGGTATGAGGTAGGTATTATTATACTTTTATTTTCCCTTTGAGACAGGGTCTCATTCTCACCCAGACTGGATGAATTACAGTGGCTGATCATGTCTCACTGCAGCCTCAACCAGACTCAGGTGATCCTTCCACCTCAGCATCCCGCGTAGCTGGGACTACAGGTACAGCTACTTTTTTTTTTTTTTTTTTTTTTTTTTTGTCGTTTTTGTAGAGATGGGGTTTCATCATGTTGCCCAGGCTGGTCTCAAACTCCTGGGGTCAAGCAATCTGCCCACCTAGCCTCCCAAGGTACTGGGATTATAGGTGTGAGCTACCATGCCTATTATACCTTTTAATAAAAAAAGTGAAACCACGTTGTTTTTGCATTTATCATATCACCAGAAGAAATGACTATCATTTATTAAAAAACTTAACATGTAGTTTGCACAATTTCCCATGGTATAAAAATAAAAGGCTACAACAAACCTATACCAGGAATAGGTACTTTAAAAAAAAAAAATTGAAGGCCAGGCGCAGTGGTTCACATCTGTAATCCCTGCACTTTGGGAGGCTAAGGTAGGTGGATCACCTGATGTCAGGAGTTTGAGACCAGCCTGAGCAACATGGAGAAACCTCATCTCTACTAAAGAGACAAAATTAGCTGGGTGTGGTGGCACATGCCTGTAATCCCAGCTACTCAGGGGGCTGAGGCAGGAGAATCGCTTGAACCCAGGAGGCAGAGGTTGCAGTGAGCCGAGATTGTGCCATTGCACTCCAGCCTCGGCAACAAGAGTGAAACTCCATCTCAAAAAAAAAAAAAAAAAGAAGACTACAACACCATTTTAATAGCTACCTGGTATTTCTATGTCTGTGCCATATGGACCATAATTTCTTTAACCAATCCCATATTGTAAGATATTTAGATCTTTGTTTCCAGTGTTCCACTTTTATCAACAATTGCTATGTAGAACATACATCTTTCTTTGTCCTGAATTGTTTATTAGGTATAAATTTTACAAACTTTACTTAGATTAGTGGTAATGGTGGAGGAGGGGAATATTGCGCCTTCTCCAAGCTGCCAGGTGAGAACCACCAATAGTGTGGTGGAACCGTGGAATTTATGGCCCTTTCCAAGGCTCTTCAGCCTGCAGATGTCAGCCCACACATCTCCCTGTGCTTGTGGACTGGTTTGGTGATCCATTGGGTGTCAGGATTTCTTCTGATAGCTTTCGGAATGGATCAATGAGAATAACCTCAAAAAATTTGTATGTGGAATCTTCACCAACCCAGTGAGAATTCAGGACTCTTAGAGCCCCACAGTGACGTCCAGCTCACTCCTCTGCAACGGACTGAAGGCTTCAAGCAAATTTAATTGGTTAACACCACAATGGACAGGCTTGCTCTAAGTTGCACCCTTAGGAACTGGGCATTTTTGGCCACCACAGTGAACACGAATCCTATATATAATGTAACCTTGCTTGGCCTTGTAGCCCAGTTGGTGCGCTTTATCAGGCCAGGTGAGACGGGGGCCCTGTGGAGAGCAGAGAGCTGGCAGTACTGCCAGCAGCAGACCCTCAGAAGAAAGTGCATGACATCAGACTGCAATTCTTTCTCCATAGCTCCTGGATGTACTTGTGTGCACCCATCTTGGCTTACCTGATGGCTGCATAGAGAAAGGAGAACATCAATCTTTATGCAGGTCCAGGCTAGATTTCTGGCGGCAGTATTACTGGGTCAAAGTGCAAGGCTGCGAGGAGGGAAGTTTGGTAGAGACAGCTTCCCTCTGATAAGAAATTCTCCTGGGAAGGTGCAGACGTCAAAATAAACAAGGTATTTATGGGCATATTTGCTTGGCAGGAGTATCAAAAAATGAGGTTACTAAAAATAACCAGGTTTGGAAGTCTGTATTTGAAACAACGAACAATGGTGAACTATTTTTCATTTTTTAGAGACAAGGTTTAGCTCTGTGCCTAGGCTGGAGTGCAGTGGAGCAATCATGGCTCACTGCAGCCTCTACCTCCTGGGCTCCAGATTCCCTCCTTCAGTCTTCCTAAGTAAGTTGGGATCACAGGCACATGCCATGATGGCTGGCTTTTTTCTTTTTTCTTTTTTTTTTTTTTTTTTGAGCCTGAGTCTAGCTCTGTTGCCCAGGCTAGAGTACAGTGGCAAGATCTTGGCTCACTGCAACCTCCGACTCCCGGGTTCAAGCGATTCTCCTGCCTCAGCCTCCCAAGTAGCTGGGATTACAGGTGTGTGCCACCACCCCCAGCTAATTTTTTTTTGAGACAGTCTCACTCTGTCGCCAGGCACCAGGCTGGAGTGCAGTGGCACTCCACATTGGCCAGGATGGTCTCAATCTCTTGACCTCGTGATCTGCCCGCCTTGGCCTCCCAAAGTGCTGGGATTACAGGCTTGAGCCACCACACCCTGCCTAATTTTTTGTATTTTTAGTACAGACGGGGTTTCACTGTGTTAGCCAGGACGGTCTCAATCCCCTGACCTTGTAATCCACCCACCTCAACTTCCCAAAGTGTTGGGATTACAGGCATGAACCACTGCACTCAGCCTATTTTTTTTTTTCTTTTTTGTAGACTGGGTCTCACTATGTTGCCCAAGCTGGCCTTGAACTCCCAGCCTCAAATGATTTTGCTCCTAGGCCTCCCATAGTGCTGGAATTAACAGTCGTGAGCCACCGCGCACAGCTTACTTGTGGGCTCTTTTTTTTTTTTTTGAGACTGAGTTTCGCTCTTATTTACCCAGGCTGGAGTGCAATGGCGCGATCTCAGCTCACCGCAACCTCCGCTTCCTGGGTTCAGGCAATTCTCCTGCCTCAGCCTCCTGAGTAGCTGGGATACTTGTGGGTTCTTAAGCACTAAATGCTGTTAGAGGAGGATTCTTCAGCAGATCAACTAGTGGAAGAGGCATGAAGTAATAAAATTTTAGATGATGACTGAGAAAATAACCTCAATCAGCTAAAGAATCTATAAGATTTGAAGGCCTTAATTTAAAAGACAAAAAATTGAGAAAGGTTTGTTGTTGTTGTTGTTGTTGTTTTAGACAGTTTCGCTCTTGTAGAGCCGGCTGGAATGCAGTTGCATGATCTCGGCTCACCTCCGCCTGCCTGCTGGGTTCGATTCTTCTGCCTCAGCCTCCCGAGGAGGTGGGATTACAGGAGTGCGCCACCACTCCCTGCTTTTTTTTTTTTTTTTTTTTTTTAAAGTAGAGACGGGCCGGTCAGGCTGGTCTGGTCTCGAACCCCTGACCTCAGGCGAATCACCCGTTTCGACCTCCCAAAATGCTGTGATTACAGGCGTGAGAGTCACCACGCCTGGCCAATTTTTTAAAAGATGATTCTGTCACATTCTGAGAGAATGGAAGTGAAATCAATCAATAAATAAAGATTCCGATTTTCCAGGCTGGATAACCCAGAAACCACGGTATCCTAAAGTCTCAATAAACCTTAAGGCACGGAAAGTGAGTTATCCGGCAATACGTGATGGGCGCCCGCCTACATAATCAGTGGGGCCAAGCGCAAGATGAAAATGCCCGGCACTTGCTTTAAAATTATTAAGAATTTCAAGACCGTTAACAGTAGAACATTAAACCAAGCATTATAGATGCTTCCAAGCATACGGATGCAGAGTCCATCAAGGCTAGTCCTGGTGACAGGCTCAGGTCTCGGGGTCTGGAGACCAGGAGACGTCGCTCGAAAGCTGGCCAAACCCTCGCCCTCACTGAGAGAGGCCCCAGAAGGGACCAAGAAGGCAAAGAGCCCATCGATGCCCTCAGGAGCGGGCGGAGGGACGCTCGCAGCTTTCCCAAGGGAGTGCAGGCTGCGGGGACTGAAGTTCAGCTCGGATCCTGAGCCTCTGAGCGCGGGACAACAAGGTCGTTCAACCCACATGCCTCCCCACCCAGCGTGGCCGAGGATCACAGATGTGGCAATTCCCGGCCTTGGACTCAGGCTTGTTACTCAACCACCGGCGGGTGGGGACAGGAGGCAGCGCGAGCACCCTGGACCCGCGGCCGGGGGCGGAGAGGCACCGCAAGGACACAGGGTCTAGGGAAGGTCTGCAACTCGCGGAGGGCCAAGGAAGCGTCTAAGGGGACTGCCGGAACCGGAAAAGCTGTGAGAGAACAACGCGAATACTAGGGAGCGTCTGCAAAGACCGCAGCGGAAAGCCAGGGATTGTCTAAAAAGTTGCCGGAGCGGTTAAAGGGAGGTCTAAAATGGGGCAGTCCCAAGAACAAGGCTTCCAAAAGCTAAGCCAGGAAGGAAGGTGTGGAAGCCTACTGGGACGCCGAGCACCCCTGAGGACAGGACTGGAGCTGCAGCCGACGACAGGAGAACGGCTCTAGCTGGACGGAGGAAAAAGTGGGGAGAAAGGAGGGGAGGCCTTGGGCACTGTCTGAAAAGTGCCCAAATGATTTTTAGGGACAGACAGTAAGTTGTATCCCTTGCTAAAATATCTCTCGGTAGTGAACCACCAATTTTTTTAACCCCTGCCTTTCAGCTATTACGTCTAGTTCGGCTGTCTCTGATCCAAGAAGCTGCCAGTTCCCACTTACTCCTCCCCAACAAGGGCGAAAGGCCCGCCTCCGGTGCGCACTTTCTCCTCCCCTCAGGCCCCTGGCGCATTCTCTCGCCTATCTATCAATCACGGCGCTCCGCTGTCCAGTTGGCTGGCCAAGGGGGCGGGACCGTCGTGTGACGTTTGCAGCCCGCCGGCCAGGAAGCCGCGAGATGTGTGACGAGGTAGGCTCGTGACGGAGGAGCGGTTGGCCAACGCAGCGGCGGCAGTTGGTGTAAACAAGGCCTCGCGCCACTGCGGGTCCTGCGACCGCTCCTGGCTGGTGGGTGGTCTCCCGGGGGGCGGTAACTGCCGGCTTCAGTGGGAGGTGCTTCTCGGCTTCCTACCCCTCTTGGCTTACACACCCCCGGCGCACCACGTGGGCGTGAGGCAAGGAAGAAGGGGGGGTAGGCCAAATTTTATTTTCATTGGCTGTCACTGCTGCCGGCTTTCCTAAGGAAGCGCTCTGATTGGTCGGTAAGAGGGGGCGTCGAGGGTCTTTAAGTCTTAAGGCTTCTAATTGGTTAGATGAGATAAGCTAGTGGTGCTCATTCTTTCTCGAGGGGCTTCGATTGGTCTGTCAGAGAGGTTACCTGGGAATCCAACACCGCCCAACAACCCTTCCGCTCCCCAGTCCTGGGACTTTAATAGGTGAGTTTGGTGTAGAAAACTGAGAAATCTTTCTCAAATTGGTGAGGTAGGGTGACGCCCTTCGCTTCACTCTCTCTTTCTTTGCTTCACAGGATTGGAGAAGGTTTGTGTTCCCGACGCCTTGGTAGTTGGCATAGGCTAAAGAAAAGGGATCTCAGCCCCGAGGAAGGGTCACCCTCCTGGAGATAGCTACCCCATCTCAGGAGACCCTGGTATTTCTAGAGCACGCTTTGCTTTCACCAAACCCAAGGAGGTGACAGGAGGAGCCCCCGCACAGAACCTAAGAATGCTGTGACCAAAAGATGGGATCACGGAACAGCAGCAGTGCGGGATCCGGGTCCGGAGACCCCTCCGAGGGTTTGTCCCGAAGAGGGGCTGGCCTTCGTCGGAGTGAGGAAGAGGAAGAAGAGGATGAAGATGTGGATCTGGCCCAGGTACTGGCCTATCTCCTCCGCAGGTAACTTACCCTCTGGTGTGACCTCACCAGGTGCTACCACGGTCCCTTGATCCCAACTCCAGGCAGGAAAATTACAGAGGTTAGGAAATGGGATTTGCCCAGAACAGCCGTTCTGTTTGAGCAGAACAGCCTTTCCCTATTGGGCACCCATGGCACACAGCTCCATATCCAGTAAGAGTGGGTCTTACCTAAGGAGGGTCACCAAGAGGACCTGCTCATGTGTTTGAGGGACTATTCAAGGGAGCCTCTCTCGCTGTGACTAAACAAATATAATCTATTTTCCAAGTAAGTTTAAAACAAAATGGGGCCTGGAGGGAAAGGAGTGATGTAAGGGGTGAAGAGATGGGAAGGGAGTGTTGAACTTTTTAGTAAGGCATTGACGCGTGATGTGAGGCCACTTTGATTACTTGAAAAACAAGTTTAAATTGCCCTGACCTGTTCTTGAGGAAAGAGTACCTTGAAGGGAGCGACCACCTGGAATTGACTGGAAGAGTGCAGCTAGCTTTGTTTCTTTCCTTATGGCTATTTGGGGAGAAGATGAGCATGGGGGTCCCTTCTGAATATTGTAGTCTTTTTTGTTTGTTTGTGTTTTGTTTTGTTTTCAGTAGACATAGACAGGATCTCACTGTGTTCCCCAGTCTGGAGAGCAGGCTATTCACAGGTGTGATCACAGTGCACACCACATCCTGGGCTCAAGCATTCCTTGCCTCCCAGGTAGCTAAGACTACAGTTGCACACGCCACTGCTCCCAGCTTAGAATATTGTGTTCTGTGGTGGACTTCTCAGGCAGAGGCTCAGAAGGAAACACTGTGAGAATGTTTAGCTCGTTGGGAGGTCAACTTAGTAGGTAATGTCCACAGCGTGTTGCTCTTGCTCTTGTTCTAAAAGTAAGACTCACTTTCTTACTGTGTTTTATAGGAAACTGAAAATAATAGCCAAGGTCTAGTCAGCCTGAAACCTCAAAATGAGTACCAAGTGGTCTAAGAGCTAGATAGCCATTGACTCTGAATTTGTTGGTTTGGGGGAAGAAGTCCCCTCCTTTATACTGGGGGTCTCTCCACAGAGGCCAAGTGAGGTTGGTGCAGGGAGGAGGTGCAGCAAATTTACAATTCATTCAGGCCCTCTTGGACTCAGAGGAAGAGAATGACAGAGCTTGGGATGGTCGTCTTGGGGACCGATACAACCCACCTGGTAAGAGGAAAAGGCCCTAATGTTGGAAGACTTTTACTAGAAAACCTATTAGTGATACTTTGAATAATAGATTACATTAAAAGAAGGTGCAATAATTTAGGGAATAAGGAAGTCCTTATAACCCCGGTATATTCAGCCACAGGGGTGGGCTTGGGTACAGTTCTGCTAACTATCCTCTGAGGCTGAAAGACCTAGGATGAAACTTCTTGGTACTCACAGTGGATGCCACCCCTGACACCCGGGAGCTGGAATGCAATGAGATCAAGACACAAGTGGAATTGGCCACAGGGCAGCTGGGGCTTAGGCGGGCAGCCCAGGAACACAGCTTCCCTCGAATGTTGCACCAGGTAGGCCTCTCCACCTCCCAGCCTGGCAGCAGGACTACCAAAGCAGCCAGAAGCTCTGCCAGCCCCAGAGAAAAAGAAAGTAAACTTTTCAAGGAAGTCTCAAGGGCTAGTGCTGGAGAGTTAACTAGCTTCCATCAGAGTTCTATGGGACAGACCATGGTGTGTTGTGTCTATTTCTATAACAAGAGCAATATCCTTGGTGGAGGGGGCTTGATACGGCTGAAGTGGCCCTCTGTTTCTGCTAGCAATATTCCCTAATCCCTTCCATTTAGAGAGAACGGGGCCTCTGCCACCGGGGAAGCTTCTCCCTTGGAGAACAGTCTCGAGTGATATCTCAGTGAGTATGGGGCTTGGTGAAGAGACTCTAAGGGCCAGATAAGTCTTATCTCCTAAAGTTTGAAGGGGTTGGTGTTAAAAGAGCCTTGAAGATATTAAAGTTTAGGTTAAATGGGGTTGAAACTTTGAGAGTAAACAAACTGGAAAAGTATAGAAATGTAAAGGATGCCGGGCGCGGTGGCTCACGCCTATAATCCCAGCACTTTGGGAGGCCGAGGTGGGTGGATCACGAGGTCAAGAGATCGAGACCATCCTGGTCAGCAAGGTGAAACCCCGTCTCTACTAAAAATACAAAAATTAGCTTGGCATGGTGGTGCATGCCTGTAGTCCCAGCTACTTGGGAGGCTGAGGCAGGAGAATTGCCTGAACCCAGGAGGCGGAGGTTGCGGTGAGCCGAGATCACGCCATTGCACTCCAGCCTGGGTAACGAGCGAAACTCCGTCTCAGAAAAAAAAAGAAATTTAAAGGATGGTGGAATGGTTGAAAGACAGGGGATTGCACTCACAACCAAAAGAGAATGATTTTGTACTGATATTCTAGCTCTGTTAGGATTCTGCAAATTGGGATACTCCTTATCCTGAGCACCCCTTATCCTTACTTTCTCTCTCCTTCCCTAGCTTCTTGCCCAATGATCTGGGCTTCACTGATAGCTACTCTCAGAAGGCTTTCTGTGGCATCTACAGCAAAGATGGTCAAATATTCATGTCTGCTTGCCAAGGTACCAGACCCTCGTCCTGTCAACTGTCTTTTCCTGGAACATGGAATGTACCCTCTGACTGAGGCTAGAAAGCCACAGACAGGGAGCTCAGACCTGGCTTAGGGATGCATACCCAGAGCATGTTTCCCATTATTAAGCGAAGATTCCATAGGTATACTGAGTGGCAGACCTCTAATCTAGGAAAGTTATAAGGAAAGTGTTCCACAATTCTGCCTGATCTCTACTTTTACAGACCAGACAATCCGACTGTATGACTGCCAGTATGGCCGTTTCCATAAATTCAAGAGCATCAAGGCCCGCGATGTAGGCTGGAGCATCTTGGATGTGGCCTTTACCCCTGATGGGAACCACTTCCTCTATTCCAGCTGGTCTGATTACAGTGAGTATGTACCAGGCCTCCACTGTCTCTCCACCCTGGGACCTGAGGTGCTCATCCCCTCTGAACCAGGATTCCTCACTTTATACAGGGAAGATCACTCCCAAAGTGCTCCAACATCCTTGTCCTTTGTTTGATCTCTTCCCTAGCTTCACATCCACTCTCCTTCCCCCATGCCTGAAAGATTCTTGTTTTTCTTGCTCTTTTAGTTCATATCTGCAATATCTATGGTGAGGGAGATACACACACTGTGCTGGATCTCAGGTACTGGCTTCCCTTTCTGGTCAGACTCATCAGAAACTTCTCAAGGGAAGATCTTCAGGAGCAAACCTTTGAGTTGGAAGTTCTGCTTAGGGGGAAATGTATGCTGGTGGGTCTGTGTGGATTCCTGGGAGGGAAGCAGCATCCTGTCAGCCAGAGGATTGGGTAAATGGTTGGTTGCAGGATTATTTCTGGGTTCTCACTGAGGATCTGCATGGTGGTGCATGTTAACCGGACTTCTTTTTTCCCCTGGGTATATGTCTTACAACCATTGTCAGATTCTATGTAGATTAGCAAAAGCTGAAGGGATGTCCACTTAATCCAGTTACTTCTTGCTTTCAGGCCAGATGAGCGTCGCTTTGCTGTCTTCTCCATTGCTGTCTCCTCAGATGGACGAGAAGTACTAGGAGGGTGAGTGTTTGTGGGATATGTTTCCCTTAATTAACAAGATGGGGGTTTCCCCAGAGATGAGCTCTGCTGTACACAGATGGCACCGGCAGCTGCAGAGAAGAACCAGATTTTCTCCAAGGTCAGGATTTACAAGTTGGTTCACCTCTTGCTCTCCATTTCCCCTGCACAAGAGCCTCCTTAAAAACACAGCTAACTCTTCCCCCATGACCCAGAGCAGGATTTCTCAGTGGGACTCTCTAGAGTACATACCACATTGATCCTCAAGATTGTTGCTCCAGAACCCTCCTTTATTGCTTCCCTTTCAGGGCCAATGATGGCTGCCTGTATGTCTTTGACCGAGAGCAGAACCAGCGCACCCTTCAGGTATGGCTCCTGAGACAGAGCCTCTGCTTCCTGGTCTTTCGCTTATTATAAGACCTAGAAAGAGATCTTATATTCTGGCCTCCTTTTCACCTAGATTGAGTCCCATGAGGATGATGTGAATGCAGTGGCCTTTGCTGATATAAGCTCACAAATCCTGTTCTCTGGGGGTGATGATGCCATCTGCAAAGTGTGGGATCGACGCACCATGCGAGAGGATGACCCCAAGCCTGTGGGTGCACTCGCTGGACACCAGGATGGCATCACCTTCATTGACAGCAAGGTGGGCCAGGAAACAGGACTGCACAGCCAGGCTACTAAGGTTCTGGTTGCTCAGGAGGGCATGAAAATGGACTGGTGTGGGAATTTGACAGTTGCTTATTTTTTTTTTTTGAGACGGAGTTTCGCTCTTGTTACCCAGGCTGGAGTGTAATGGCACGATCTCGGCTCACTGCAACCTCCGCCTCCTGGGTTCAGGCAATTCTCCTGCCTCGGCCTCCTGAGTAGCTGGGATTACAGGCACCCGCCACCATGCCCAGCTAATTTTTTTGTATTTTTAGTAGAGACGGGGTTTCACCTTGTTGACCAGGATGGTCTCAATTTCTTGACCTCGTGATCTACCTGCCTTGGCCTCCCAAAGTGCTGGGATTACAGGCTTGAACCACCGTGCCTGGCGACAGTTCCTTATTAGCCAAGGTTTATAAGGGTTGGAGTTCAGGGAAGGGGCTCAATCTAGGGAACATGAATTCCATCTGGACTCACCAGTCCTCAAGGAGTAGGGTGGGGCTTTCTGTACAATAAAAATGGAAGACCAGCCAGGTAGGTGGCTCATACCGGTAATCCTATCACTTTGGGAGGCAAAGGTGGGAAGATCGCTTGAGCTCAAGAGTTTGAGAACAGCCTGGGAAACCTAATGAGCCTTTGTCTCTATTTTTTTTTTTATTAAATATTTTTTAAAAAGGAAAATGGAAGACAGTCTGATCCAGGATAGAATAGGAAAGCCAGCCAGTAACCTGGACACGGAAAGGAAAACCCAGCCAGGTGGTAAGATCTGAGGCAGAACAATGAAAATGAGTTCACCTGGATAAAGAAAGAGGCAAGCAAAGCCAAAGGCTGGAGTTCTGCTCAACTAGAGAATGAGAACTAGACTGACAGGCGCTGACATTTGTAAGCTCTGATGCTTCACTATCCACATTTGGATTCATAGGGTGATGCCCGGTATCTCATCTCCAACTCCAAAGACCAGACCATCAAGCTCTGGGATATCCGACGCTTTTCCACGCGGGAAGGCATGGAAGCCTCACGCCAGGCTGCCACACAGCAAAACTGGGACTATCGCTGGCAGCAAGTGCCCAAAAAAGGTGAGACTGGAAGTACAGGCACAGTGGGTTTGTCTGTAGCCTGGGAACCCTGGAGCCCTCCCTGTCAGCCCTCTTTGCCAGGCATTAACGCTTTATTTGCTAAATCATGGATGGGATGGCCAGAGGTTCCTAGGATTGGGGCCTGGGTGGGGGTCACTCAGAATCAACCAATACAAAAGTATTTTTTTGTTGTTGTTGTTAATCAATGAGAGCTTTGTTGTGTTGCTCAGGTTGGCCTTGAACTCATGGCCTCGCCTCCTCAAGTGCCAGGACAACTGGCCGGAGCCACTGTGGCCCCCAATACAAAAGTATTTGAGTATGATTAGCGAGCAGGGCCATATTGGAGACTGTCCACTGACGATTAGGTGGAGAAAGAGCCACCACTTGGGCTGGGCGTGGTGGCTCACGCCTGTAATCCAAGCACTTTGGAGGCCAAGGTGGGCGGATCACTTCAGGTCAGGAGTTCAAGACCAGCTTGACCAACATGGTGAAACCCCGTCTTTAAAAAAAAAAATTTAAAAAGCCACCACTTGAAGGTTAGAAAGACAGTTGTCTCTGGGCATACATGCTTGCTCAGGACTGGTGGTACAAAACAATCCCAAGTCCGGGCACAGTGGCTCAAGCCTGTAATCCCAGCACTTTGGGAGGGCCGAGGCAGGCGGATCACGAGATCAAGAGATCGAGACCATCCTGGTCAACATGGTGAAACCCTGTCTCTACTAAAAATACAAAAAAATTAGCTGGGCATGGTGGCGTGTGCCTGTAATCCCAGCTACTCAGGAGGCCGAGGCAGGAGAATTGCCTGAACCCAGGAGGCGGAGGTTGCGGTGAGCCGAGATCATGCCATTGCACTCCAGCCTGGGTAACAAGAGCGAAACTCCGTCTCAAAAAAAAAAAAAAATCCCAAAGCAGATTCCCTAACCTAGGGCTCTTATCCTGTGTCCCTACCCAGCCTGGCGGAAGCTGAAGCTCCCGGGAGACAGCTCCTTGATGACCTACCGGGGCCATGGAGTGCTGCACACCCTCATCCGCTGCCGGTTTTCCCCCACTCATAGTACCGGCCAGCAGTTCATCTACAGTGGCTGCTCCACTGGCAAAGTGGTTGGTAAGGATTGTGTCAGAACAGGAGGCCTCAGGAAGGGCAGGAATGACTTTCCCATTCTTCCTATAACCACCAGTGACCACCTTAAAAAGCCCAGTGACAGCTATAGGTAAAATATAATTTAGCTTGGCGGCTTAAACAGAGAAATAGAAAACATTCTATTCTTCAGCATTTTAAATTAAGAAAAGGAACGTAGAACTCTAGTCAGTAAATATAATAGACTGCCAAAAATATAGTTGGTTCTGTTTTTCAGCCAGTCAAGGAAAGAGGTTGCAGATGAAAGGTAGGAGGGAACAGAGATAAAATGATACAGGAAGATGGTAGCAAGTAGTAGAGGACATGCAGTCGCTGAAGCAGAAAGAAAGAAGAACCTGGGCGCAGTGGCTCACGCCTGTAATCCCAGTGCTTCAGGAGGCTGATGTGGGCAGATTGCTTGAGCCCAGGAGTTTTAGACCAGCCAGGGCAACATGGAAAAAACCTCGTTTCTACAAAAAATGGCTGGATGTGGTGGCGCAGGCCTGTAGTCCCAGCTATTTGGGAGGCTAGGGTGGGAGAATCACCTGAGCCCGGGAAATCGAGACTGCAGTGAGCCATGATTGTGCCACCGCACTTCAGCCTGGGCAAGAGTGAGAAACTGTCTCAAAAAAAAAAAGAGGGCTGGTGCAGTAGCTCACATCTGTAATCCCAGCACTTCGGGAGGCCAAGGCGAGCTGATCACCTAATGTTAGGGGGTTTGAGACCAGCCTGGCCAACATGGTGAAATCCCATCTCTACTAAAAAGACAAAAATTAGCCAGGCATGGTGGCAGGTGCCTGTAATCCCAGCTACTTGGAAGACTGAGGCAGGATAATTGCTTGAACCCGGGAGGCAGAGGTTGCAGTGAGCCAAGATCGCGCCACTGCACTCCAGCCTGGCAAGAAGAGCGAGACTCCATCTCAAAAAAAAAAGGAAAGAAGCACACGCACAGCTACAGATATAAGGAGCCTAAGGCAGGGCAGTGCTGTCCCTAGGGAGACACTCACAGACCCATGACAAAAGATGTACTCTGTCCAGGCAAGGTGCACACGCCCCAGACAGCTCAGTTTTCACTTTTGTGGTGACTTCCACATTTTACTAAAAGCTTTAAAGCCACTTGCATTTTCTTAACTGTAGCCCCTATAAAATTTAGCTAAGGGCCAGAAATACCCACACCACTAAACCATACCCTCAAACCAAGGTAGGGAAAGGAACAGGGATAGAAGCAGAAATAACAGTCTTCTGGTGTGGACTCTGCTCCCATGGGAACATGGGAAGTTGCCTGAGAAGCAGGTCAGTGGTGCTACTCACAGGGAGGTGAGGGATAGTTTAGAGTCTTAGGGTGGTCCCTCTCCACTCTTGCGTGTCCTGCACAGTGTACGACCTTCTCAGTGGCCACATTGTGAAGAAGCTGACCAACCACAAGGCCTGTGTGCGTGACGTCAGTTGGCACCCCTTTGAAGAGAAGATTGTCAGCAGTTCGGTGAGGTTGCAAGGGTTGAGGGGGCTGACACATATCTGGGGCTTGGACTTGGTTGGGGGGCAGCATGTCCTGACTACTTGCCACCCTCTGCCCTGCAGTGGGACGGGAACCTGCGTCTATGGCAGTACCGCCAGGCTGAGTACTTCCGGGATGACATGCCAGAGTCTGAGGAATGTGCCAGCACCCCTGCCCCAGTGCCCCACTCCTCTACAGCCTTTTCCTCACCCCAGTAGATCCGACCTCCAGCCCCATATAGGGTGAACCTCTTGATAAGCTCTCTGCCTCCTCCTCCCTTTCTCCCTTGTGGGGAATGTTTGGAGGAATCACTGGCATTGGATGGGGAGAAAGAGAAGCCCAGGCTCTGAGCCTCAGCTGAGCCCTAGAAGATCCTCCCTATGGGGCAGAGTGGTCTCCTCACATGCTCACACCCAGTCAGATTGGGTCCCTATCTCTGGCCAGAGTTTGGCAGGAGTGCCATTATCTGGGGTGTGGTCTCTGCCAGCAAGGGAAGTATCCTGGGTGTTTTTAATCATGTTTGAATGTTAGGGGTTGGCTCGTAGAGTAGACCCCTGAGGCCACATCTGAACAGACCTGTCAGCCAGGCCTGTTGCCTGAATCACGTTGAGGATTCAACTGGCCAATCACAGGGCAGGTGTCCTGGCCTTTCTTCCTGAGGTCTCTAGGGGAGGGGCATGGATAAGGGTGTTTCCTCCACACCTTCCTAGGGTGGGGGAAGGTGGGGATTGTGACTGCTTTCGTGTCTGGGTCTTTGGGGTAGGACAGGCTGTGGTATGAGAGGTGGGAGTCTCCAAAAGGCTCCTTGTGGCCCCTCATAGGGCAGGCCCTGCCCTCTGAGAAGGTCCCATCATGCTGGAGGCACGCAGCTTTAAGGAAGTAGGTTGAAGTAGGACTCCTTTGTCCTCTCACCGGCTTTGGCTCCCTCAATAAACTCTGTGTGGGAACCTGGCTCAGTGTCTGTCTCTCTCTCACACTCTCTCCCTTTCCTATTTGAGGTCTTTCATCCTCTCACTTCAGGAAAACAGTTTCAACAGAGCCTTTTTTTTTTTTTGGTGGGGGAACGGAGTCTTGCTTTGTTGCCAGGCTGGAGTACAGTGGCATGATCTCAGCTCACTGCAACCTCCATCTCCTGGGTTCAAGCGATCCCCCTGCCTCAGCCTCCTGAGTAGCTGGGACTACAGGCATGGTCCACCACACCTGGCTAATTTTTTTTTGTATCAAGAAATAGGGTTTCACCATGGCCAGATGGTCTCCATCTCCTGACCTCGTGATCCCCCTACCCCGGCCTCCCAAAGTGCTGGGATTACAGGCATAAGCCACCGCGCCCAGCCTCAACAGAGTCTTTAGCTGCAATCCTGTGTTGGAGAAAATACCCTTCTGTTGCCCCATGATAAAGGGAAATATCAAAACCATTTTTTCACTGAGCCTTGCAGCAGGTGCTCCCTCACCAACTTTAGAAGCTTCCCTGCAAGTAGACAGCAAGAGAGCGCACTCTCCATTACAGCCTGGTAATACCCAGGAGGCAGAGGTTGTGGTGAGCCGAGATTGTGCCACTGCACTCTAGCCTGGGTGACAGAGTGAGACTCGCTCTCAAAAAAAAAAAAAGCTGCTCTCAGACTCCTGGGCTCAAGTGATCCTCCACTTCAGCCTCCCAAATGCTGGGATTATAGGCATGAGTCACTGTGCCTGGCCATGAATGGCTTTTTTTTTTATTTTTTTGAGACGGAGTCTTGCTCTGTCACCAGGCTGGAGTGCAGTGGCGCAATCTCGGCTCATTGCAACCTCCGTCTCCTGGATTCAAGCGGTTCTGCCACCTCAGCCCCCCGTGTAGCTGGGACCGCAGGCGCATACCACCACGCCCAGCTAGCCATGAATGGTTTTAATGGCATCTAGAATAGTGAATCCTTTCCAGAAGGTTTTCAATTGACTTCGTCTATAGCTATCAGAGGAGTCACTGTGGTAGCTATAGTCTTATGAAATGAATTTTTTTTTTTCTTTTGAGACAGGGTCTTGCTCTGTCACTCAGGCTGGAGTACAGTGATGCAATCTTGGCTCACTGCAACCTCTGCCTCACCCTGAACTCAAGCGATCCTCCCGCCTCAGCCTCCCAAGTAGCTGGGACAACCAGCACATACCAGCACACTTGGCTTGTTTTTGTTAATTTTTTGTAGAGATGGGTTTTGAAATGTATTTTTTAAACAATAAGACTTGCAAGTCACAATCATTCCTTGATCTATGAGCTGCAGAATGGATGTTGTGTTAGCAGACATGAAAATATTAATCTCCCTTTATATCTCCAGAGTTTGTAGGTGACCAGATGCATTGTTAATGAGCAGTAATATTTTGAAAGGAAGCTTTATTTCTGAGGAGTGGATCTTAACTGAGGAGTGAGCTTAAAATATTTTGTAACCCATGCTGCAAACATATTTGCCATCGTGTAGATTTTGTTGTTTTATTTATAGAGCACAGCAGAATACATTTAGCATAATTCCTAAGGCCCTAGGATTTTCAGAATGGTAAACGAGCATTGGTTTCAACTTAAAGTCACCAGGTGCATTATCTCCTAACAAGAGTTAGTCTGTCCTTTGAAGCTCTGTAGCCCAGCCTTGACTTCTGTCTAGCTGTGAAACTCCTATATGGCATCTTCCAATAGAAAGCTGTTTTGTTTGCTTTGAAAATCTGTTATTTAGTGTAACTACCTTTATCAGTGATCTTAGCTAGATCCTGTGGATAACTTGCTGCAGCTTCTACATCAGCACTCGCTGCTTCACCTTGTATTTTTATGTTATAGAGATGGCTTCTTTCTTTGAGCGTTATGAACCAACCTCTGCTAGCTTCCTCACCACTCTCAGTCTTAACAGAACTGAAGAGAATAGGCTGGGCTCAGTAGTTCACACCTGTGATCCCAGCACTTTGGGAGGCCAAGATGGAAGGATCACTTGAGGCCAAGAGTTGGAGACCAATTTGGGCAACATGGTGAGTGGAGACATGCACATGTAGTCCCAGCTACTTAGGAGGCAGAGCAGGAGGATTATTGCTTAAGTTCAGGAGTTGGAGGCTGCAATAAGACATGATCATGCCACCCCACTCCAGGCTCAGCAACCAAGCAAGACCCTGTCTCTCTTTTTTTTTTTTTTTTTTAAGAGATGGGGTTTCTCCATTTTGGCCAGGCTGGTCTCGGAACTCCTGACCTCAGGTAATCCGCCTACCTCGGCCTCCCAAAGTGCTGGCATTACAGGCATGAGCCACTGCACCCAGCCCAACCCTATTTTAAAAAAAAAAGGAGAAGAAGAGAGGGCCTGGTTCTGGATTAGACTTTGGTTTAAGGGAATGTTTTGTGGCTGCTTTGATCTTCTCTCCGGACCTCTGAAACTTTCTCCATATCAACAATAAAGCTGTTTCACTTTTGTGTCATTCATGTGTTCACTGAAGTAGTAACTTAATTTCCTTCAAGAACTTTTCCTGGACAGGTGCAGTGGCTCACTTCTGTAATCCCAGCACTTTAGGCAAAGGCAGGAGGATCACTTGAGCCCAGGAGTTTAAGACCAGCCTGGGCAACATAGTGAGACCCCTGTCTCTACAAAAAATTTAAAACAGCTGAATGTGGTAGCATGTACCTATAGTCCGAGCTCCATGAGAGGAGGATCGCTTGAAATGACGGGGGAGGTCAAGGCTGCAGTGAGCTGTGATCACGCCACTGGATTAGGCTTTGGTTTAAGAGAATGTTGTGTCTGCTTTAATCTTCTACCCAGACCACTAAACTTTCTCATGTCAGTAATGAGACTGTTTCACTTTTGTGACAAAGTGACCCTGTTTCAAAAAACCCCCAAAAACCAAGGTATTCATGTACTAATAATACATTTTAGACTACTAACAGTTATAATGAAAATAGAATCCATAGGGAAAAAAATAACTCTTAGGGCCTTATGGTCACAGGAAAATTTTTTTGTTGTTGTTATTTTTATTTTTTGATACAGTCTTGCTCTGCCGCCCAGGCTGGCGTGCAGTGGTGTGATCACTGCTCACTGGAACCTCAAATTCCTAGCCTCAGGCGATCTTCCCATCTCAGCCTTCCTGAGTAGCTGGGTGGGTGCCACTATGCTTGACTAATTTGTGTTTATTTTTGTATGGACAGGGTTTCACCATGTGGCTCAGGCTGGTTTCAAACTCCTGGGCTCAAGTGATCCTCCTGCCACAGTCTCCCAAAGGACCAGAATTGCAGGTGTGATCTACCACACTCGGCCCAGAAATTTTAAAAAGTTAAATTTTTTAAGTTATATACTTGTTTTCTTTTTTTGGCAGAGAAATGTGATAAATGCTCAATGAAAGACTTTCAGGCATAAAATCATATTAGGATAAATTTTATGAGGGAGTAGAATGGAAATATAATTTCTTTTTTTTTTTTTTTTTTTTTTTGAGATGGAGTTTCACTCTTGTTGCCCAGGCTGGAGGGCAGTGGCATGATCTTGGCTCTCCACAACCTCCAACTCATGGGTTCAAGCAGTCTCCTGCCTCAGCCTCCTGAGTAGCTGGGATTACAGGCACGTGCCACCACGCCCAGCTGATTTTGTATTTTTAGTAGAGACAGAGTTTTTCCATGTTGTTCAGGTTGGTCTCGAACTCCTGACCTTAGGTGATCTGCCTGCCTAGGCCTCCCAGGGTGCTGGGATTACAGGCGTGAGCCACCTCGTCTGGCTGAAATATAATTTTTAATGTAAAATCTTGTCACGTGTTTTAGTGGATAATGGTGAAGTATCTAAGCACTGTAGTATTTAAATTTCATTGGATACATTTGAAAGAGTGATATAATGGTTTTACTTTGAAATGTCAGTATATAATACACTAGAACTACTTAAAACCACTATGAGACCAGGCATGGTGACTCATGCCTATAATCCCACCACTTTGGGAGGCCAAGGCAGGAAGATCACCTGAGGCCAGGAGTTCACGACCACCCCAGTCAACTTAGTGAGACTTTGTCTCTACAAAAAAAATAAATTATTTATTTATTTATTTATTTTGAAACAAGGTCTCTCTCTGTTGCTTAGGCTTGGAGCACAGTGGTGCAATCACAGCTCATTGCAGTATCAACCTCCTGGGCCCAAGTAATCCTCCCATTTCAGCCTCCCAAGTAGCTGGGATTATGGGCACATGCCACTATGCCTAGCTAATTTTTTTTTTTTTTTTGAAGAGACGAGGTCTCCCTATGTGAGACCAGCTCAGGCTGGTACCCAACTCCTGTGGCTCCTCAGGCTGGTCCCAAAGTGCTGGGATTATAGGCATGAGCTACTGCACCTGGCCAGAAAATTAAAAATAAACTAACCAGGCATGCTGGTACATTGCTATAGTCCCAACTACTCACTCAGAAGGCTAAGGCAGATGATCACTTGACCCCAGGAGTTGGAGGCTGCATTGAGCCATGATAACAAACTGCATTCCAGTCTGCGCAACAGAGTGAGACCCTGTCTCAAAAAAATAAATAATAAAAATTTAATAAATACAAATGGGGGGAATTTTTTTTTCTTAAAACAAAGTCTTGCTCTGTCACCAGGCTTGAGTGGCGTGATCTGGGCTCACTGCAGTCTCCACCTCCCAGGTTTAAGCGATTCTCCTGCCTCACCCTCCCAAGTAGCTAGGACTACAGATACACGCCACCACACCCAGCTAATTTTTGTATTTTTAGTAGAGACGGTTTCACCATGTTGGCCAGGATAGCTCCATCTCTTGACCTCAGGTGATCTGCCCACCTCGGCCTCCTAAAGTGCTGAGATTACAGGCGTGAGCCACCGTGCCCAGCCAGGAAATTTTTTTTAATTAGAAAAATTTAAAAACTACAATGAAAGATTTTATGCCAAATAAAAAAATGTATAGAGAGTCTGTAGGTCTTCAAACTTTTTTTTTAAGACAGAGTCTCACTCTCGCCCAGGCTGGAGTGCTGTGGCATGATCTTGGCTCACTACAACCTCTGCCTTTCAGGTTCAAGGGATTCTCCTGCCTCAGCCTCCCAAGTAGCTAGGATTACAGGCAGCTGCTACCACACCGGCTAATTTTTTTTTTGTATTTTTAGTAGAGACGGGGTTTCACCATGTTGGCCAGGCTGGTCTTGAACTCCTGACCTCAGGCCATCTGCCCGATTCACCCTCCCAAAGTGCTGGAATTACAGACATGAGCCACCACACCCAGCCTAGTTCAAAATTATTTTATAGGGTTCATGACAGGCCACTGTTACTAGGTATGGGCTTTAGGATCTAGAAGGAATCTGATTGATTATCCAATCTGTCTTGATCAATTTATAGAGGAAATTGATTTACTGAGGACCAAAGAGGGTTCATTGATTTTCCTGAAGTCACACAGTTGGGCCCAGAACATGGGTGTCTTTGCTTGCTCATTCCTTTCACTAATTCTTCTGTGCTCTGAAATCTTACCAGTTTTGAGGAATGAGGAAGAAAAAAAAGTGATCTTGAAACAGTTACTAACAGGCTCTCTCTGTGGGTAAGTGGCTCTCTTCTGCCCTGCTGTTACAGCCTCAGCAATCAGACTGGGAGGGCAGGCTTGTAGGGAGAGCCCAGAGGCCCAGGGTAGTTGGTTGGAGGATAGACTTAAAGTTTCAATTGACTCCTGTCTGGTGATTGCCCTTTTAGAGTCTCCTCCACCCCATCACCTGGGAGCAAACTAATCTTTAGGGATCTGAGGGTCAACACGATCAACAGATGAAACCACCAGTTTACACAGCAGCGCTGGGCCAAACTAGCCCCTTAGAGCACCTCAATCCAGATAGGAACTAGGGCAGAGCCAAGCTGCTGAGGTCACAGATCACTGAAGTGGAGAACCCTGCTGATCTGCCTCTGAAGACCTAAGATGGTCACAGAGCTCTGCACAGCCACCTTGCTGCATACTGCAGTGGTAAGCTCTTGTACTTAGACCCTAGGAAAAGTGCTAGATCACACTGATGAGAAGACTGACAGCTTTTTTTTAAAATAACTTTCAAGGTTTGGTTAATTTTGTCTTCATGACCTCTGATTTCCCTGTGGAGCAAATGGTAAAGTAGGGGTAGGCAGAGAGGGACAGACCCCAGCAGCCTGTGGACAAGGACAGCCCTGAATAGCTGGCCCTGAGACATGAACTGGAACATGGTTGGAGCCTGGAACACAGGACTAACAGGAGAGGACACAGACTGCTGTCAGGACACATTCTATCACACACCCAAGGCCAGGACCCTGCTGACGTGGCAGACCTCCACCCTGGCCCCTTACTGCCCCCGGCCCCTCTCCCCCGCCTGCCAGCTGCCAACAAGGCTCTGCCTTGTGTCTGCCACACCTGTCACTGCCTGTCCTTGTCCGGGGGGGCCCATCAGCCCCTCCTCAGCTGCCCAGCAGAGCAAGCAGTTACTGGGGAGGGGAGGGAACATGGAGCGGGGGGCGGTGGTGGGGGCAGGGCTGGGGGCTGGGGCCCGAATCCGGGCACTCCTGGGCTGCCTGGTCAAGGTGCTGCTCTGGGTGGCCTCTGTCTTGCTGTACTTTGGAAGCGAACAGGCCGCCCGCCTTCTGGGCAGCCCCTGCTTACGGCGCCTCTACCATGCCTGGCTAGCAGCAGTGGTCATCTTTGGGCCCCTTCTGCAGTTCCATGTCAACCCTCGGACTATCTTCGCCAGCCACGGCAACTTCTTCAACATGTGAGTCCACTCAAGGCTGTGGGAGTCGGGTCCCTGCATTCTGGGATCCTAGCTCCCTTCTCTAGGCTTCTGTCCTCCTGCCAGTCTGAACACTAAAAATAGGCCAGGAGGTTGAGGAGAAGGTCGGGTGAAGGGGAAGGGAACAGAGCTGTGGGGTACAGGGGAAGTCAGGAACAGGACTGAAGAGGAAATGTGGATCCTGGCATGCCGAATGGTCCTCCAAGGAAATGGCAAAGTTTAAATGACTAAGGGCTATAAAGGGTACGGCAAGGAGAGAACGGATGATGATGTGTAGCATTGGGGAGAGGGTAGTAATGGGAACACAGATCAAGGTGGGAGATGGAGCTTGGGGTCTCAGTAGTCTCCCCTCTTTTCTACCCACAGAAAATTTGTGAATTCAGCCTGGGGCTGGACATGCACCTTCCTGGGGGGCTTTGTGTTGCTGGTGGTGTTCCTGGCTACACGGCGTGTGGCAGTAACTGCCAGACACCTGAGCCGACTGGTGGTGGGGGCAGCTGTGTGGCGGGGAGCCGGCCGGGCCTTCCTGCTCATCGAGGACCTGACTGGCTCCTGCTTTGAGCCGCTGCCCCAGGGTCTGCTGCTCCACGAGCTTCCTGACCGCCGCAGCTGCCTGGCAGCTGGCCACCAGTGGCGAGGCTACACGGTCTCCTCACACACCTTCCTGCTCACCTTCTGCTGCCTGCTTATGGCAGAGGAAGCGGCCGTGTTTGCCAAGTACCTGGCCCACGGGCTGCCTGCAGGCGCCCCCCTGCGCCTTGTCTTCCTGCTCAACGTGCTGCTGCTGGGCCTCTGGAACTTCTTGCTGATCTGTACCGTCATCTATTTCCACCAGTATACTCACAAGGTGGTGGGCGCCGCAGTGGGCACCTTCGCCTGGTACCTCACCTATGGCAGCTGGTATCATCAGCCCTGGTCTCCAGGGAGCCCAGGCCATGGGCTCTTCCCCCATTCCCACTCCAGCCGCAAACATAACTGAAAGGAATAAAAGCCATTGGGCCTGGCTCTGCCTCCTCTCATCATTTGGTTGGGTACTTGAAAAGGTGGGAAGAGGTTTGGTAGTCACTAGAGTTCCTCAGCCATTCCTTACCCTCATCAACCTTAAATGTCCTTCCTTATGCTTGATCTCCATCCCTCCAACTGTCCTTTCAGCCTCCTAGTTTTTGCAGACTTCAAGCTATCTGGGGACTGAGACATCCAGGAATGGTGCTTCTAAGCCAGGTAGTGGTGCCCTTAGATGTGGGCATCATTCTTGCTGAGCAGTTGCTCCATCTCCAGGAGCCAGGTTGGTGGTTTTTCCTGCCTTCTCCACTGAATCTCCACTCTGCTCTCTTCAGGGGCCTACATATCTGGGTACTCCACTCTACCCTTCCTACCCTGTCTTCCCCATAGGAGTGTGTATGTGCTCATCTATTTAACAAATGTTTATTGAGCTGAGCAGAATTCTATGCCAGGTAAATAAGACAAGATTTCTGCTGTTTGGAGGCTTATGAACTAATGGGGAATGCAGATAATAGACACACAAATAGTAGCAGACACTTGCACTCTGTTTATTGTGTACCAGGTACTGTTCTAAGTGTCTATAAGTTCTTTACAAAAGTTAATACATTTGGTAAAAGTATGAGGTAGGTTGTACTGATCTTGATTGGCAAAAAAAAAAAAAAAATTGAGGTAGTAGTGTTCCCATTGTACAGTTGAAAAAACTGAGACAGAGGTTAAGTAACTTGTTCACAACTAATAAACAGAGGAGCCATGATTACAAAGCTAGGCAATATGGTGTATCTTCTATCTCTAAACCAGGAATTAGCAAACTTTGGCCCTCCTGCGGCCAGTTTTTGTATGACCTGCAAGCTAAGAATAGTTTTTATAATTTTTTTTTTTAGGCACAGTCCTGGCAGTGATGGTTCATACCTGTAATCCCAGCACTTTGGGAGGCTTAGGCAAGAGGATCACTTGAGCCCAGGAGTTTGAGACTAGCCTGGACAAGATGGTGAGACCCTGTCTCTACAAAAAAAATTTTAAAAAGAAAAAGGTAGAACGTTTTTTACATTTTATTATTATTTGAGATGGAGTCTCATTCTTGTTGCCCAGGCTCGAGTACAATGGCGCATTCTCGGCTCACTGCAACCTCTTCTTCCCAGGTTCAAGTGATTCTCCTGTCTCAGCCTTCTGAGTGGCTGGGATTATAGGCATGTGCCACCACATCTGGCTAATTTTTCTATTTTTAGTAGAGACAGGGTTTCTCCATGTTGGTCAGGCTGGTCTTGAATTCCCGACCTCAGGTGATCTGCCCACCTCGGCCTCCCAAAGTGCTGGGATTACAGGTGTGAGCCACTATACCCGGCCTACATTTTTATTTTTTATTTTTTTATTATTTTTTGAGATAGAGTCTCACTCTGTTGCCCAGGCTGCAGTGCAGTGGTGCAGTTTTGACTCACTGTAACCTCTGCCTCCCAGGGTCAAGCAGTTCTCCCATCTCAGCTTCCCAAGCAGCTGGTATTTCAGGCCCCCACCACTCACCAGTCTAATTTTTGTATTTTTAGTAGGGACAAGTTTCACCATGTTGGCCAGGCTGGTCTCAAACTCCTAACCTCAAGTGATCAACCTGCCTTGGCCTCCCTAAGTGCTGGGATTACAGGCGTGAGCCACTGTGCCCAGCCATTTTTACATTTTTTAATGGTTGAAAAGGCAAAAGAAGACGAAAATTTTATTACAGGAGAAAATTACATGAAATTCAAATTCCAGTGTCTGTAAAGTTTTATTGCATTTCACCACACTAATTCATTTACATATGGCAGCTTTCCTGCTACAATGGCAGAGTTGAGTAGATAAGACAGTGTAAGGCCCATAAAGCCTAAAATATTTACTCTCTGGCCCTTTATAGAAATAAAGTTTGCAGCCAGGTGCAGTGGCTCACACCTGTAATCCCAGCACTTTGGGAGGCTGAAGTGGGCGGATCACCTGAGGTCAGGAGTTCAAGACCAGCCTGACCCATATGGTGAAACCCCATCTTAAAAAAATTTTTAAAAAAGAAAGTAGCCGGGCGTGGTGGCTCATGCCTATAATCCCAGCACTTTGGGAGGCTGAGGCGGGTGGATCACGAGGCGGGTGGAGACGAGGTCAAGAGATCAAGACCATCCTGGTCAACAAGGTGAAACCCCGTCTCTACTAAAAGTACAAAAATTAGCTGGGCATGGTGGTGCGCACCTGCAGTCCCAGCTACTCGGGAGGCTGAGGCAGGAGAATTGCTTGAACCCAGGAGGCGGAGGTTGCAGTGAGCCGAGATTGCGCCATTGCACTCCAGTATGGGTAACAACAGCGAAACTCCGTCTCAAAAATAAAGTTTGCCCAAAACCTGGTTTAAATCACTATCCTGTAAAAAAACAAAAACTGGCTAATATCAGAAATAAATGCTATGAATCTACTAAAACAGGCTGATTTGTAACGGATTTGGAGGGAGGTTCTTTATAGAGGATGATGAAAATAGTTCTCTCTGAAGAGATGACATCTAAATTGAGAACCGAATCACAACACCCAGGGCAAGGGTGTTTTAGGGCAAAGGGATTATTAACAAGGGCAAAGGCTCTGAGGCAGGAATGAATATGACACATTTGAGAAATAGCCCAAGTATTTGCAAGCGTAATGAATGAGGGGGCAAGCAGTAGAAAGTGAACTTTAAGGGGAGACAGGTGCCAGGCAGGCCACGAAGGATAGCCTTTTGGATTTCATTCTAAGGTCAACAGGCAGCAGAGAAAGGGTTTTAAGCCAGAGAGGCATGAACCCCCTGCTCCGTGAGATGGGTTATAGAAGAATGACATCTGCAGCCCTGGTCCAGGAGAGAGCTGGTCCGGGATGGTGCCTGCTCTGGTGCGGGTGTTGCTGCAGGTGCGGAGGATGTCGGCAGAGCCAGAGGCCCACTCTGGCAAGGTCAGGAAAAGAGAGGCCAGATCTTGTTCCATTTCTGGGAAAGACGGAAGAGCCCTAAATAGGGCTTATCTGTCCCAGGCCGAACAAGGGAAAAAGAGCAGCAGGTGGGGAGTCAGTGGGGAGGCGGGAAGGGTATGGGAGCGGAAAGGGAAGGGGGAGGGGGGAAGGGAGAGGGGAGGTGGGAGGGGGAGGGGAGGTGGGAGGAGGAGGGCGGGGCGCGGAGAGACGGCTTTGGGCGGGGCGATGGGAGGACCAGGGTCCTCCGGCGGCTGGCGGCGGGAGGCGGGGACCCGGCCGGCGGAGGTAGGGAGGCTGGAAGCTGCCTCTCTCGAGGCGGCACGGGGAAGGTGGGCGAAGAGCGCCTGTGCGTGTAGGGGGAGCCGCGCCCTCCGCCCTCCTTTGCGGTGCCGCCCCTCTCCCAGGGCTGACCCCGCCTCCTCCAGCCCTCCCCGCCCCCCTACCCAGGAAGGCCGAGCTGGGTGCTGGCGCTGCTTTCGCTTTCCCTTCGCGGTACCCACTCCGTTCCTCGTGCGGCGCTAAGACCCCCACCCCGGCCATGACCACACTCAGGGTCCATCCCGAGGCCCAAGCCAAGGTGAGAGCCACGGGGTCTAAGAAGGGCCCACTGGGGAGGCGTGGCTCAACGGCCAGGGGCATCCCCGACCCGCCCCCCAAGCTCCCACGCGGGTCGGGGGCAGCCGGCCGAGCCGGGGCGCCCGAAGCACCTGCGCTCCGGAGAAAGCGGCGACGGCTACCTGCGGGGGAGGCGAGGCGGTTGTGGTCGGCGGGGTGAGGTGAAGCGGAGAGCTGGCATGGAGAGGAACTCTTCTGGCCTGGGGCCGGGGCCACCCACAGACCTGGTGCGGGACTGCCCCAGCTACTTCCTGGCCTTTCCGTCAGGGAGGATCCCGGGGCCCACTCTGTTCCTGTCCCACTCGCAGAGGCCTTTCAGCACCCCTCCTTACACCACCAGCCGACCCCAGGGATCCGTTCTCACATGAACCACTGGCCCTTCACCGCCAGGAACGTTCTCATCCCCCATATCCAGTCCCAGGGATGCCCACTCCACCCTTCCCAGATCCAGATCCAGGTCTGCAGAGATCCACTTCTCCACCACCCCAACCTCCTCTACAAGCATCTATCTCGCTTTCTTCAGGTCTAGCCTTAGAGGGATCCACTCCACCCTTCCCCAGGTCAGGCCCTGCATAACCCTAAGGGAATTGTCCTCAAATGAACTGGCCTTAAAGCCAGGTTTCTGAAGGGATGTCTGTGCCCCACAGGTGGATGTGTTTCGTGAAGACCTCTGTACCAAGGTAAGACCTGTCCCATCAGCAGCCCCACCCCGACCCAACTCCTACTGCTCAACCCTGCCTCACCTCCTAGGACAGGCATTTGATGCTGACTCCCATCCTCCTCCACCCCCACCTTACACACAGACAGAGAACCTGCTCGGGAGCTATTTCCCCAAGAAGATTTCTGAGCTGGATGCATTTTTAAAGGTACCGTGGCTGGGCAGGGAGCTAAGGAGTAAAGGCCAAGAGAAGACTCTGGGGTGTTGTGAGAGTGAGGTGAGAGGAAGACCCTCACCTCCATCCTTCCTCCCACCCTACACCAGGAGCCAGCTCTCAATGAAGCCAACCTGAGCAATCTGAAGGCCCCGTTGGACATTCCAGTGCCTGATCCAGTCAAGGAGAAAGAAAAAGAGGAGCGGAAGAAACAGCAGGAGGCAAGCTGGGAAGACCTGGGAGGAGGGATCCAACCATGGGGGAAATCAGCCTCAGTCCTGACTCCCATGAGCCCCTCTTTCCCTGCAGAAGGAAGACAAGGATGAAAAGAAGAAAGGGGAAGATGAAGACAAAGGTAAAACTATGACGGTGGGAAGAGACTTGAGTCCCACCCCCAGGAGGTCCTCCTAAGGATTTCTTTTCACTCTCCCCTTCACCTCTCACATAGGCTTAATCATGTGACTGACCCATTGCTCACTCTCTAGGTCCTCCCTGTGGCCCAGTGAACTGCAATGAAAAGATTGTGGTCCTTCTGCAGCGCTTGAAGCCTGAGATCAAGGATGTCATTGAGCA